CCTTCTTGTTACCGTGAACACAGGTGCTTGTAAACATTGAGTTAAGCACCATTACTTTGGTAGTACATGTAGCTGGTTTATCATGCATGTGCTCAACGTGGTCAGAAAATCTCTATTTCCAACCACCTTATGTAACTATACCTACAACAGCTGTAAATGATCATATATCCAAAATTTAGCCCGATTATAGATTAGAAATGAATTTGGCCCTAGAGTGAGGTGTTATGTGCCATCTCTTATTAAAATTAATAATTATAATATTTAATTAATATTCTTTTCTTCATCCAGTTTAATCTAAATTAATTAATTAAATATTATAATTATTAATGTTAATAAGAGATGGTGTGTAACGCTTCATTTCAGTGCTAAATTCATTTCTAATTTGTAATCATATATTCAAAATTTAGCCCGATCATTTATGGCAGTTGTAGATGTATTTGCTTAAGATACAGAGTTTCGATTGATGTGTATATTTATACACTGTGTAACAAGAGGAAGGTGTCAGTAGTTCAACTGCCATTACCACACTTTTCATGTGCATTTGCCACATTCAGGCAACATAAATTTCTCCTGTCCCTATCTCCGCTACCAAATTTTCATACTCATCTGCAATGATTGGTATTAATTCTCCATCTTTGAAAAATCGGGGGTTATGCTGTGCTGTTGGAGAATCCCGTAACGGGGATGAATACAAGGTACATTGGGCCACAACAAGAATACTCGCTAGCCACCTAGCTAAGCATCAGGATGTGGTGAAAAGAAAGTGCACCACAGAGCTTGCAAAAATGCTACTCAGAGCTACAACCCATTATGGGCTCAAACAACACTACTCAGATACTGTAGCAACCAGAAACTCATCTTTATATGGGAATCTCTCCTCAACAACCTTGGAACCGTGCAACACCCCCATGCTTTACCTGCCAACATACAGGTTGCCCTATATAAATGGGGCAACTTGTATGCCCCATTATCACTACATAATGGGGCAACCCATTATGTAGTGATAATGTATTAAATAGTGATTTACATCTGCTGTCATACCTTTAACATGGATCTATATTCACACATATGCTGCATAACCTCATAACATTGAGCATAATTAAAGTTGTTAACATGCTCATAATAGTTTTTAATTCTTAATTTTAAATAATGTCTTCCATTCACATTAAGAACATTTGTATTCTATTTTTAAATTTTTGTTCACCTGACAACAACAAACATAAGTTTAGCAAAGCACTAGCAAAATAAAAATATTAATGTCGTACTCTGAGTTTTCCTTCCTTTTCTATCTGTTATTTGGCTTGAGGATCAAGCTGTATTGTGTCATAAAATTGACTGATAAACACTATTAAAAATTGCACATTAATAGTGACATTGTATGACATGGATAGTGACAAAAATTGTATGACATGGATGCTGTTGTGAAAATTTTAACACTGATGTTTCTGTGGACATTGAATCCTACAGTGAAGGTCAGCATAGAGATCCTTTTTAATGTGCAATTTTTAGTAGTGTTTATCAGTCAATTTTATGAAGTTTTTGCTCCATGTCACCTACTGTTTAGTCTTTGAATGGAATGAAAGAGGATTTAAAGATGAACAATATATTATTTTGATTTGTTAACGATTATATTAATGTGAAAATAATCCTGGGTTGATGTATGATTACAAAAATAAATGGTTTTATATCACTTTTTTTACATATTATTATTTATATAACGAACGAACTAGATAAATATACTATTAATAAAACACACCTTTAATAATCCAGCTAATAAAAATTAATAATATAATAACGTTTTCGATCGTTTCTTGACGATCATCTTCAGTTACCATAACATAGAATAAAATCGAACACAAAAAAGAACGTAAATACGAAATTAAAATATAAATAACAGAAAAGTAGATAAAAATAAACGAAAAATAAAAATTAATCCGAAAAAATGTCCCTTAACAAATAAAAATAAATAGTCATTAATTCTTGTAAAAGGATCACCATGCGGTGGGTAAAGAGTCCACATCTCTATGGTTGATGCAACCAGTTTTCTTGTGTGCCTTAAAGATCTCTAATTTCTCCAGATATTTCATTGTATGTAAATTTGTCGTAGGTTTAATCATTTCCGCCCGATCCCAACGGACCTGAATGTCGCGTTGCGTAAGACGATAGCACGGTGTTGTCAAGTTTCTTATTAATCGTATATTTATGCTCTTTGATACGTTGTTGCAATTTGCGCATTGTTGAGCCTATGTAGACAATATCTGAATTAAAACGCTGATCGTGTAATGGTATAGAATAGATTCCTGATGCCGATTTCCAGTCATAACGCTTCTTATCATTTCTTAATAGCTTGAAAACTGTAAGATTGTGTCGATATACTACACTGAAATCATTAGCCTTGGCGATTTCTTTATGTATTTGTCTCAAAAACAGGACATGATTTAAAACCATCTTTTGTCTATGGTCTACTGTGGGATGTCGTTGTTTAGTTGTTTGGAAGGTTATAATAAGATTCTTTATGATTTCCTTTTGGTATCTCTGTTGTTAAGGGATATTTTTTCGGATTAATTTTTATTTTTCGTTTATTTTTATCTACTTTTCCGTTATTTATATATTAATTTTGTATTTACGTTCTTTTTTTGTGTTCGATTTTATTCTATGTTATGGTAACTGAAGAAGATCGTTAAGAAACGATCAAAAACGTTATTATATTATTAATTTTTATTAGCTGGATTATTAAAGGTGTGTTTTATAAATAGCATATTATTATTGTTTTAAATAGTTACTATTTATTAGAAAAGTAAGGTCATCCAGTAATGTAATATCCTAAAAAATGAATAGCAATATCTGAAAATGTAAAATAAGGTAAAAAGAAAAATTTATAAAAATTTTTAAATTAACTTCATTTTCATTAAAACTTTTTGACTGTTTAGAATTGCCATCAGGTTTTATGGAGCAAACGTGAATTTTTTTTTCTTGTTTTTAATTTAATTTCAATGAACTTTATTTGTTGTTTTAATATTTAGTTAGGTAATTTAAAGTTTATTATATTTAAGTACTTTATTAAAGTAAAATGCACTATTTTTATTGTTTCAACTGAAGTATTGAAAATGATACAATAAAAATAAAATTGATAAAATTCAATTACTCATGATATATAATTATTCATCTTTATATTTTTTATAAAATGATAATGATTATAAATTTTTTTTTAAATTTATAAAGTGAATTTAATGATTAGAATTAATACAAAATTGTTTTTAGTTAAATTAATCAAATTATAGCATTATTCTTTATTTGCATTAAATTTCCTATAATATATTAAGTTGGTAGTTTGGCAGTTAAACTGTCTGTCTGAATTTAAAATAATTGCTTTTTTTCATTCTAATATATATACTTTGAATAATAAATTATATGTACAATATAAAAAGAAACTGTATTTCAGTTTCTCATAAAGATTATAAATAATAAATTTAAAAACTCATTTAAATTTATTATGTTGCCAATTCTTTCATTGCATTGTATTTAGCATTCTCTTGCACCATTGAACTACAGTAGAGCATTGATTATCTGACTCAATTGGGGACTGGGGTTGGTCGGATAACTGAAAAACGGATAACCAAAAAGTATGAAAAAATACATTATTAGTATAGTATATTATATTAGTATATCCCATGTAATTAGTATATCGCTATTAACCTACTTCGCATTGAATGTTCATCGATGTTAAGCCTAACAAATTTTTTTAAAAATAATAATCGTCGCTATTGTATAGTTAAAAATTATTTTAAAATTATTTTATTGCTCACAAAACAAACAACCACTCATAATTAGAAAATTAAACCTAGTTTAAATACTGGCCTCCCTTTCATGATCAAGCCAGCCTAAAACACGCAAAAATTTAACAAAAATAATATTAAAGTAGCCAAGACATAGCCAAATATTGTAACGCCACATCACTAGCGGACATTTGAAATTTGCTGACTAGAACGGTCGGTTAACCGATGTGACGGTTGATCGGGGGTTGGATAATTGATGCTCTACTGTATATTCCTTTTCATTAATTTGACTTAAGGGAAGAAAATATAATTTTCAGATGAAATTAGGAAAACCGAGATAATTTTAGTTCCAATTTCTGGACTTTGTGAAACTTCTGATCATTCAGAATGTGGTGTGTGTTTTCCTACATCTCTTTGAAAAAAAAACAAAAATAATTTTACTAACGAAGTGCTATTTTGATAATTAGATTTGATTCCTTTGCAAATGTTCTAGAATTCAAACTGCTGTTGATCAACCGTAATATTTTATCTGTAAGATCCATAGTGTTTATATCATAATTATATGTCGTTTGGAAGTTGTTTCTTGGCATTAATAACACTTCTTGAAAACTTTAGTATATTGCCATTTAGTTTCTTTTTATTTACTTGATTATTGATATTCTTGATTATTGATTCATCTTTATAGCAGCTATAACCAAAAAGTCCACTTTTTACTAATATTGCAAGTGATAATTTTCATTGGACCATCTTTTTAGACAAATTAGAAAAGTTTTTGGAGACCCCCCCCCTACTAATTTTTGTCTATGCCTTACATCCTTTTCAATAAATCTTGTGCCATCTTAAGGAACATGCTTATACTAAGATACACTTATTTTATTAATTTCTAGATTTTGAATTTTTATTTAACATCCCACAAAATTTACTGTTTATAATAATGTAGCAAAAGAATAATGATAGCAATTTGCACAAAATAATCTTTTTATTCTTTATTTACTGTTAGCATATATACTTGTAAAGAAACAATTAGGTTAATTAAACTTTCTTTCATGGATACACTAAATTGTTCTCACATTTTCCAAATCTATAAAACATTTTTACATGCTTTAGTAAGATATTTTAATAAGAATATCAGTTATGTTTTGAAAAGGCTTATTATAATTCTTTTGAACACTATTACATTTTTTTTTTTTTAATTATGATGATTTATATATATACTAATTTTAGGTGGTATCATGGAAGATTGGATAGATACACTGCTGAACAGAGGCTTCAAGCAGCTTCAAAATTGGGAAGTTACTTGGTTAGAGAAAGTGATCGAAAACCAGGATCGTATGTTTTGTCATATTTTGGACATACTGGAATTAATCATTTTAGGTAATATTTATTAAATTATCATTACTAAATTATATTTTTTATTGTAGTAAAGTAATACTAATACATTTATTAAAATAATTATCTATTAAATACAGAAGATAAAATTTCTATTATGGAATTCATCAACTTAAAACAATTTTGTCCAATTTCAGAATCACTGCTGTTTGTGGTGATTATTACATTGGAGGAAGACAGTTTGATTCATTATCTGATTTAATTGGATATTATACTAGTTGGTCTGATTTGTTAAAGAAAGAAAGACTTGTTCATCCTGTACCACCACCTGAGGTAATGTTTTAAATTTATTTCATATAATTTTTATAAGGTTTCAACCATAATGCTTTCATAAAAATATTTGGTTTAATTCCACTCAATTTTAACAAATAGTATTATTTTTCAATATTTTATTGTATTACAGCTGCCCTATAGACAAACAGGTGTATATTTTTCAAAACTTTAATCTATTTTGTAGAAACACAAATGCTTTAATGAAATTATTTTATTCATAGTTGATTCTTCATTTGTTAATTGTTTGTAATTTGTTCTAATTATTTTCAAATATGCTATTTTACTTATCTTTTAAAGTGGTAAAATTAAGATACTGTTTATTTGGTATAAAATCTGCTTGTATGTTGCCAAGTAAAACATAGTAAATGCATACTGTTTTTTTCCTTCCCAATTTTACCATTACACTTTAAATTTTTTATCTATGGAAAACTTTGCAATGCTGCCCATGCAATTATAATAATAGTAAGAAAACAAAATTGTTATTTATTTTTGAGTGTAGACAGTATTGGTTGTATATAAACAATTGACCATTGTGCAGCTAGGAGCAAAACTGCTTCTGGTTTTTCTTTTCTGTAAGTTGACTGACTACAGTCTAATTTGTGATAGAAACAAATAACTCAATTTTATTTCTTTTGTTACTTCAAAAGTTGACTTTATATTATGAAGAGTCTTCCAAATTTATGTGAATTTCATTATTATTAATCAAAATTCTGTTTCTTGCCATATGAAAAGTAGATATTCCTATTGATTTCTCTATTCTTATAAAACTGAACAGTGGTGCTATTGTATAATAAATCCAAATCAGCCAATTGTCAGATAGTTCAGACAATATCCATGTTTATGTTAAGGAAAATTTTATAAGTAAAATATTGAATAGAATTAAAACCTCAGGCCTTCTTCACTACAAGATATAATTAATATACATTTAACTTAAGCTCAATACAAACATTTTAAAAAAATTAATTTGTAAATATTTAATTAAAACATTTTTAAAAGTTTTTTTTTCCTTGATAGCCTGTAAATGACAAGAAGAGAGTTGTCGCCATTCTTCCATATAATAAAATGCCTGATACAGACGAACTGAGGTAAATAAAATTCATCCTATTTAGAATTACTAAAAAAATGTAATTTAAATAAACAAATTATTTATTTATTTATTCAGTTTTCAGAAAGGTGATATTTTTATTGTTCATAATGATATGAATGATGGATGGTACTGGGCTACTCTGCATCGAACACAAGAAAGTGGTTTAGTGTTCAAAGAACTAGTTGAAGAATTGGTGAGTATTTATCTCAATCTGTAAATAATTAGAAGAAATATGATAGAAATCTGTTAGATATTTAATTCAGATTGTTATTCTACTTGGGTATTTAAAGGTGTTATTTATCACAGATTGTTATTGAGAAATAAAAAGAATTTCCAACTGGAAGTTATATATTTATTATTGCAAATATATTAATTCATAATTTTGGGTTTGAGCAACAGTTTAAAATATAGAAATGTAGGAAAAGCTGATTTTTCAATGTAGAATATTAAAATTAATGTTAAATAGCTGGTTACTGGAATTTTTCTCATTTTTGACAATAACTTTGCAGTAATGTCTCATTAAAATATATACAGTGGGTGATCGGTTAACGAACATAATCCGTTCCAAGACTTTGTTCGCTATCCGAATTGTTCGTTAACCGATTATCGATTTACCATAGGTTTCTATGGGAATTTGATTAATAGGTTCTGGAGACCCCCCCAAAATAAAAAAATATATACATACATAGTCTTGCGTTTTTATTAGTCGTGTTTTTTTTCTGTTTGAAAGGGTTAAAGAATCTGTCTAATGTCGATTGCTTTTCTCTCTTCTTCAGGATTTTTCGTAAGTAATTAATAGCATTGCAATTGCAGAAATCCCCAAGCCTTAACCTGGTTTGGATGCCATTCTAAGACCGTTGTTCTGACATCCTCCCACTTCTTCAAAGGATCTTTAATATAAGATATCGGCATTAATCCTCTTTTTCAGAAGAAAACATATCTCGCCGAGTTTCTTGGTGTTCTTCATTCAAGAGTTCTTGGCGTTCTTCTGTCGTCAGATCCATTTCGTGTTCCATTATGAACTGTTCGATATTCTTTATTTCTCAGATGTGATTTTTGTTACTCCTTTAGCTGCTTGAGTCTTCTTGATTATACAGTATGTTTCTTAAATAAGATTGAACTTCAGCCTACTGTAGACCTGTTTACGCCATACTGCCCAGCAACATTAGGCATCTTCTGCCCACTCTCTACCTTTGCTATTATACTCTCACCTTTTGAAAAGAAAAACAGACGCAAAACTTAACGAGTGCCTACCCGACAGTCTCACGAATACATAAAATAATTGTTTTGTCAGAAAAATAAAAGGCTGAAATTACCAGGAAGAGTTTCAAAGTTTGGAGGAATAATATCCGATTGGTATATATAGGCTTGAACGTCGATGTCGACGTCTCCCACACTCCAAAAAGTTTCGAATTGTTGCCCGAAGACAAGGGAAGACCAATCGGTATTCATTAATTTACGTCGTTTCTTCTTGTGTTTGTTCTGTGGGGTGTTCGTTATCCGATCATGTGTTCGTTGTCCGAACATAAAAATCTTTCGCGAAAGTGTTCGTTATCCGATTTGTTCGTTATGCGATCTGTTCATTAACCGATCACCCACTGTACAATGATTTCTCAGAAGTTAGTAAATTTGCTAGACTTAATTTTAAGCTTCAATAATGGTGAAATTTTTCAAAAATGTGCATGTAGAATTGATATTGTTATTTTTAAATATTATATACTATAAGTTTTTAAAATTATTACATTAATAACACAACCTTTTTAAATATCCAGCAGAAACTATTTGCTAAATAGCATAAATGTTAGTTTAGCAAATAGTTTGTGCTGTTTATTTAAAGATTGTTTTATTCACTCTATAAATTCACCCCAATTGGGAATTTTTTACTTTCTCAGCTGTTATACAGAGGGAAAGTATGGTGATTTGGCAAAAAAATGACTTCCGCCTCAGATTTTTACTTCTTTTGGACTTGGACACCTTTAAATGCCAAAATGCAAAAAAAAAATTGGAGGTAATTTTTGTGTGTGTGGAGGGGCATGATTTTGTTCACTCTGTTTGAAGCTTAACTCCTTTGCTTTTTGTCAAAAATTACTGAAATTTTGTAAAGAGGTTTGTTCATTAAGGGGATTTATGCTATTAAATTTTGGTGGTTAAATATTGAGGAGGTGGGGAGACAATTGGGGGGTCATGTATAGGGCTTGGACTTAATGAACTATTTTACTAGTTATTAGACTTCATAATTTTTTTATAAAAGTCATCCCTACCCTCAAAATTAATGTTTTTGCCATTTTATAATAAAAAAAATAAAGTTTTTTAATAGCACCATCTGTTATCATATTTTATCAAAATTTTAAATGATGCCAGGAAAGTTAAGCAACTCATTGCTGATTTTATTTTAAAAATTATTATACAGTAGCCTTCATAATTTAAAATGATAGGCCTAATAATCTCCAATCTTATTATTTTTTTATACAGAGTTTTAAAATCTAATCCTAAGAAAAATTAGTAAAGGATTAGTGGAAATATAACACAAGCATTATATCCTTTACTAAAAAAATTTCTAGGTAGATTATAATTTTTATTTTAAATATTTATATGGAATATTATTATTATTAATAGGATGATGATGTTGATCCTAATGAAATATATCCTTGGTTTCATGGAAGCATAACAAAAGAAACTGCTGTTGAGAAATTAGCAAAAAGTAAGCAGTATTTACTTTTAAGTATTAAAATAATGATAGATATTTGCTACTATTTTTATTTTCTATTCATAAATAAACTGAAGATGAAGCACTTAAAATATTTTTAAAGTTAATGTTAATCAATCCATCCTCTATTTAAATTAAAAGGATTGTCTAATCTGATAAATTATTTCTAAATTTTAGACACAACAGTCAATACTATGCTACTTCTAAGAAAATGGAAAAATTACATTATTGATATAACATTGCATTTTGTCATTTAAGCAATTAAAAATTTATAAATAAAATTTTTATGGAATTTATACACAAACATATGGAGACATATGTAACACGGGATATCCTTGTTAGTTCAAAATTCAAAGGACAAAATAATTGCAACTTCAAATTATCAAGTTTTGAATTATCCAAGATTTACATATTTCCATGCAATATGCCAAATGCTATGTAACTGAAGTCATATTCTGTTTGCTTAACAAATTACAATGTATACAGAATACTATTTTTGTTAATTAATAATAATGTGCTGTTTATCTCCAGTTTATTTATGTCTAGTGAGAACCTCAGAGGTTGCCAGATAGGTTTTGTAAAAGTAAAGCAGAATTCCTCATAATATAGCCCAAATTATTTTTAAAGTGCCCAAAAAATAGTAAGTTACCCAAATCTATTTGCATAGAGTCCAACATATATCTCAATCTGCTACTTGTAGCCCAAACTTGAAATCCCGAAATCCTTGTATTTTATGAGAAGTGAAAAGAATAGTCCATGGGTAAGGTGACACACACAATTAGCTTAATAATTTTGTTTTTTTATGCTTAAGTTTTATTTTAATTGTATATTTTTTAGAAAATTTATTTAATATGCAGGATTATTAAGTAATTTGATAATAAAATTTTGAAAATTATCCTAGAAAATCTTAGAAAAAATTTTTTGGATAAAAGTTTATATAAGTAGGAACAAAAGAATTAAATTTTGTAATGCCTCATTGTTTACGTTTTGAAAATACAATATTTGAAATGAAAAACTTGCTTTGTTTAATTAAACGATAAATATACATATCTTAAGTTAACCAAATATAAAAACAAACATTTTAATAAGTTTATGATCACTTTCATAGTGGGTCCGGGAAGTTTTTTGGTACGACCAAGTGATAATTCACCTGGCAATTATTCATTGTTCTTTCACATCAACAATACTATTCAGAGATTTCGGATTGAGAAAAGAGGAAATCGTTATATAATGGGAGGTAGATGTTTTGATAGGTGAGTTTTTTTAAGAATTCAAATTATTTTTAATTTTAATATCTGAATAAAATTTAAATGCTTGTATGTGTTAATGTAGATGAGATGATTTGATGTAATAAATTTATTATTAGAAGTTTAATGTGTGCATGATTTATTTTTTTACATTTAAAATATTTCATTTATTCTAAAAATAGTAGAATTTCTTTATCATCAGCAAAGAAAATTTAACTTATTTCCATAACAAGAATTTATTTCACAAATGAATTAAAGATGATGATAAAATTATCTATCCTTATATTCCATCAGTTAAAAGATTATATTAGCGTCTATAGCTTTAGAATAAGCTGAAGAATAAATTTGTATTTGTTTTTATGGATGAGTATTAAAACATCTATTAATTTGCTGCAATTTGAAATTACTTTGTCTTAATTGCTAAATATTTAAAGACTATTTTCAATTAAATCTGAATTTGGAATTTTAGAAACATTTTGTTTTTGATTTTTTTTTTTTAATTTTATGCAGAAAGTAATAAATTTTTACAATATAAAAGTCTAGATATTTTCATTAGTGGATTTTCATACTTTTAGTAGTCATTTTTATGATAAAAAATTTCATTTCAAACACATTTTCAGTGAACAAATTAAATAAACTGGGTAAATAACTTAAGAGACACTTTGTTTTGAATTATTTATCAGGAAATAATTTTTGTAATGCTAAGAAAAATGATAGTTTCATAATTTCTACATTTTTATCATCTTCATTACAGAACAGGACTCAATTCTATCTCGTCTTCCAAATATTTTAAAATTATGTGAACAATTTTGACTATAAGCTATTTTTTTTACTACAGTTTTTTTATTTTCAGTAGTTTTGTGACAATTTTTAACACTACAGTAAACCAATTTGATAACTTTAGTTTTATAACTTCTGTATTGACAAGAGAGATAGTTTAGCAAACAAAATATAGTATTAAATAAATTTTTATATCATCTAAATATACAGTATAACCCTGATTTTTACAAGAGTATCTTATCCCTATTTGCTAGATTTTGACGATTTTTCAGGATGAGAGAATTAGCTATGAAATCTAATGCACAAGTTATTCTATATGAATGATAAGCAACCTCTTCTGGATTTGGGCCACAAGTAAACTTCATAGGCTTCTGATGTACTGCATGCAGTTTTTACTAGTTGCAGACAGCTTACCAAATACCAACATATTTGATAACCTCCAGTATAGTATGTACTAAAGAAATTTATGCTAATTAGCAGACAACCTGTAGTACCTTCAGCATAAGGTATTGAATAGAAAAAGTTAGATATTAAATTTCAATTTGTAATTCTAAATTATCAAAAGTTACTTGTAGTCTGTGCTAAATGAAATAGATTTATACTCCCAATACAGACTACAAAAATGAAGTATAAAATTTCTTTGTATACCATATTAAAGTGGTGGGTTCTGTTGGATTTAACTTTTTCTAGCTGTCCTATTGATAACAATTCAGTGAATCTGACACTGAATTATTTCAACTATGCAAAAAGTTTGATTCTGTATACAAAATACAAAATGATAGAAAAATTCAGAAATTATGGGACCTGATGTCTCCAAAATGGATAATTGAATCCAAAAATAAACATCTTATTGCACATCTGCAGACCCACCTATAGCTATTGACATCTAACTTTCTCAAATTATCCAAGTCTTTTTAGTGTAATATATATATGTAAACTAGTAATATATAACTTATTCTCATGTTTTTACTGATTGAGTTTAGTTTCAATGTTCTTATCAGTTTAATTATGGTTTCATAATGTCACAAGGCAAACTGGAAAATAAAACTACTTTGACAAAGTCCAGGGGCCACATACAGTATTAGAACCTCAAGAGCTTTATGGCTCACAGGCCATGGGTTGCTCATGACTGTTCTACATTATTAATTAATAATAATTGATTATATTATTTAACACTTAGCATGTTAAATTGATTCACTTTCTTAAGTATTGTTCTTTTTGACAAATGATCTGAAGATAATTGACAAGACTATGTCTTGTTTATAAAATTGTACTGCCTGCTGTGTTACCAGCTTAGAGGTGTGAAGGAGTACATATCAATAGTTGCAATTTGGCACAGAGTATTAGGTGCCTGAAAAACCAGACTTGTAGGTTGCATTAAAAAACCAGACTTGTAGGTACTCGGGACCAAAAACCAAGTAAAAATAAAATATAAAATGGCAACACACTACAAACGGGCAAACCAAAGTCAGAGAGTACCACCCACAGTTGTTCTAGGAAGTGGATTATGACACTAGGACTGAACATGTAGTATTTTCTTTGTTAAATAAAATTTGTAATCTAATTTTGTAAATTTGGGAGTGCTTCAAATATGACATTAAAACAGGGTTTTATGTTGTTACAAGTAGGTTTTTTAACATTATCTAGTATAGTAAAATTGTGGGACTGATAAAAATTCGACATTATATTAGGGATGTCGTTACATCCGATGATATTATAATCGGATTAAACTGTATATTGTTTGTGCAAAATAAAAAAAATAATTTCAANGGGGTCTGTTAGGAGAATCTTATATCATCAGCGTCATGTCACTTGACAGTGACATTTTGCGTCAGTTTGTTCCAGATGTTAAAGATTAGGGAGGGAAGCTATAAAGTTTATAAGGTAAAGGTAAATCAGTATAAAGGTAATCAGTTTATTTTAACCCTAACCTTCAGTTCTGTGAAAAACTCCATCTTGGCAAGGTAAGAGGTATTAAAAATGCTAGTTCGTAAATACAATAGTTACTTTTTTTGAAATTCGGAGTTTCAGTATTAAAATATTTTTCCAATTTGAAACAATGTAATGAAAAAAATATAAGGTTTTTTTTCTGTGCAATCTATGGGGGGGTCAACAAAAAAAATTAAGAGGAAAATGGGTCCATGGGTAAAAAAAAGGTTGAAAACCTCTGATCTAGGCAGACAAATAATAAAAATAGCTATGATTATTTTTTCAAAAATGGGAAATTTTTGTTATGCATCGATAAAAATTCAACCTGGGCCGATACGCAATAGAGAGAAATTTCAAAATTGGATAGGTTCATTTCCTCAAAAATGCATCATGGATGACCTCGTGGTCATGGCCAGTGAAGTTTGAACGATCACGCCAAAAGCTGTAATACCAAAGGTTGGAAAATGAAAAAGAGATCCGCCTTGAGTGTCAAAGTGATTCCACTTAGTCGTGAGTCTGTTAATAAATATTTAAATACATAGTCTTGTCTCAAATATTCATATTTGAGACAAGACTATGTATTTAAATATTAATATAGTATTCAACAAACTTTTGTTGTAAGGAGTAACAGACCTGAACAATATACTCAAAATATTTTTATAACCTCACAAGATCAAGATCTTATTAACATTTAATTCAAGTATTGGATATAATAATTCAAAAAGATCCAAAGAATTCAAACAAAATTGCATATTTATTGTTTTTAAACTTTTTGTTTTGATGAAATGTAAATCTGTAAAATTTTAATTATTTTCTGTTTCTTAATTTGATTGTAGTATTTTTAAACAGTCTTTGCTTTAGAATATGCTTTGTCATTATTCAGTTCATATGTTCTCCTTAATTCATAGATTAACAAATTTTTGAAAAATATTTTCCTACATTTGATTTTTTTTTTTTTTTTTTTCAAACACTTTACAGTCTAGAAGCTGTGATTAATAGATACAAAGTTGAACAAATTGTTGAAGGACATTGCTTGAGAGATCCTGTTTTAAAAGTAAGTATTTTTATTTGTTAAAAGAAATTGAGTTTATATTAAGTAATGATATGAAGATATTTTTAATTTTTGAAATGTTTAGTGGAATAAATACAATTGTAATAATTTATTTTCAAACAAAGAATTTAAAAAAAAAATTATTTTAAACAGTTTTATGCAATATTATTATCTAGATCAGGGGTTCTCAACTGGGATCAATGTAACATTACTAGGGGCCCACAGAAAAAAAAATACCAAATTTGGGTTCACAGTGATATTTTAGTAGTCTATACTACTCTATAGGGTAATTCTACTTCAGAACAATTGTTTTACTGAGAATTAAATTTCTACAGTATATACGTGTATATTGTCAATTTATTTATTACTCATTTCTTGCATAAGGGTTAAAATATAAATTATTTAAAATATTGAATACGTAAACGACATATATATCTCATTGACAAAGGTCAAAGAGAGATTATAAAACCGGGGTCTGTTAGGAGAATCTTATACCATCAGCGTCATGTCACTTGACAGTGACA